CATCAGCGAGAGGTCGCTTCACAGTGAATAACTAAATGGTAAAGATTAAAGTGAGGTGCCTTGGTGCCTGGTATTCTTTCTCTTTCATTTGTGTTTCCATTTCAGACGCGTAGTCTAAGGCTCTGGGCATCATTCTCTTTGAGGCCTGTTCTCTCAACAACACAAGCCTCAAAATGTAACACTGAATGAAAGAGGGGTGGGAGATTTGTCTGCAAGCACAGATTCTCAGACGCAATGAAGCCAATGGCTAAAAAAGGTTATGGTGCCATGGGAGAAATGAGCCTTACAATTCAGCATTGCCTGTCTCGCCTCTTTCATTACCCTACATTCTGTTTATAAGACACAGTTAAGCAAACACAATGGGCTGCTGAACAGGCCCTTACATGAATACAAATACTGCACCTGTAATATCAGTTGGTTCCATATATATAATTGTGCATGCATACACACTCCATTGGAACGCTTCATTGGAATATTTCATGCGAGCGCTGAGATGCAAAAAGGAATATATTTCCTGCTAGAGAGCTTTAGACATGCATCCCGCACAGACGCTTGTGTATTCATTTATTCACTCACATCCAATAAAGCCACGCTTAAAGCATAAATCATCTGTGGGAAACATGTGTACAGACGTTTTTAAGGCCAGATCGTGGGCAGGTCTCAGGTGGGACAAAGCAGACATTTGACTTTAACAAGGCTTGTCAGGAAAGCCACAAGAGTTACCTCACTGTACGAGTAAAAGAGAGCTAAACTAAGGGAACCTGAGACTATGTCTGGTGGTCTAGCCTTGCCCAACTGTATCATTAGCTTACCCGAAACTTGTGCCAAGTTATGGATGATTAGTGCCACCTAAGTGCCTGGCAGCCTCTCCCAACGAAAATTTGATACAGCCTAAGTACAGTTTCTCATTTCTCTAAGGGACAGATATTTTCACATGCTGAGCACCCAATGCTGTTGGTTGTTTATGTCAATGCATGATTATTATTTCCTCAAAGAGTGCTGGAGCAGAGAATGCAACTGTATCAGCAGTGCATTGTGTCTACCTAGCAAAAGATAGCAATCTGTTCAGCCCCACGCTGATAAGAAGAGCATGCCGGACCAGCTTTATTTGATTTAATTCCAACAATCCCAACACAGCCGGGAAGACTTAATAATTCATGCACTTCGAAATTCTTTTTGACTCGTTTGTTCATTAGGGTGTCTGAATAGGGTTTATTTGCAAAGCCTAGCAAGAAACTCGAAACACCACAGCGTACCTCTCACAAAAATTTCCTCTTTTTTTTTGTTGCTCTTCATCTCTGGTCCCAAGTCATGATGCACCCGATGTGGGTTCCAACAACCATATGAGGACTGAACAACTGTCTGGTACAAACACAAATATGTGCATTTCAGCAAAGTTAGAAAAGGTTGTGTTTACCACTGGCTGCAACACATACCGAAAGTTCCTCCTAATGAGTACACCATGCCAGAATATGGGCTGAGCTCAAAATAACCCTGCTGAAAAGACCAGCACCAATTTCTGTGCTGGTCCAGGCTGGTTTTATATGAGAGGGAACAGAGAACTAGTTTCATTTAAAAAAAATTCCATTAACCATTCTCGAACATGCAATTTTCTGCCAACGTAGACAAAACAACCCACTAAAATACTCTGATAGTGTTTCCTGCACTACTATTGATCACAACACTGCTACCGAATCTACAACTGAAACATAAAACGATCTGTTTAGTCCGATTCACAAACAATTGTGACCCTGGACATTCAAAACCAGTCATAAGGGTCAATTTTCTGAAATTGAGATTTATACACCATCTGAAAGCTGAATAAGCTTTCCATTGATGTATGGTTAGGATAGGACAATATTTGGCAGAGATACAACTATTTGAAATTCTAAAATCTGAGGGTGCAAAAAAATCAAAATATTGAAAAAATCGCCATTAAAGTTGTTCAAATGAAGTTCTTAGCAATGCATATTACTAATTAAAAACTACGTTTTGATATATTTATGGTAGGAAATTTACAAAATATCTTCATGGAACATGATCTTTACCTAATATCCTAATGATTTTTGGCATAAAAGAAAAATCGATAATTTTGACCCATACTATTAAAATCTGAGGGTGCAAAAAAATCTAAATATTGAAAAAATCGCCATTAAAGTTGTTCAAATGAAGTTCTTAGCAATGCATATTACTAATTAAAAACTACGTTTTGATATATTTATGGTAGGAAATTTACAAAATATCTTCATGGAACATGATCTTTACCTAATATCCTAATGATTTTTGGCATAAAAGAAAAATCGATAATTTTGACCCATACTATTTTTTTTAGCTATTGCTAAAAATATAGCCAAGCGACTTAAGACTGGTTTTGTGGTCCAGGCAGGGTCACAAATGATTCTTGTCATTTCAAATGAAGAATTGGTTGTTCATATAACAATGTGTAGTTAAAGAGACACAATAATGAATTTTGTTGTTTCTTTTTAAAATGAATTAATAACATTATACCACTTTTCTATTCGCTTAGTATTTTTATTTAATATACAATCAATTAATTGCATTTATGCAGCCTCTAAAACGTCTGTAAATGCACTTGAGATAAAACTTTTTAATTGATTCCTTATTTGTCATATCTATTGAAATGATGTCATCATTTGGTAACAGACTGCTGTGTGAATGTAATTAGAAGAACATTTCCCTTTTATCCAAATATTTCTTACTCAAAAGTATTAAAATAATTACTAATAAAATCTTTATGGAACCACAATCATTCAAATTGAAGAATTGGAAGTGTTAAAAAACAACAACAACAACAAAAAAACATTTACATCCCTTCTGGCTGTTGAATCGGCAGGATTTTTCTGGTGAAGCTTGCTGACCAAACAAAATCTTGCTGGTAAGCATAGTTAAGTCAGGTCACCAGCACATCAGCATCCAAAACACAACAATTTGTGATAACAAGCAACGCTGGGAAGCTAAGCAGAAAGGACATATGCATCTCCCCTCTTATCCTAACCTAAGACTTCACCATAAGGTACTGTAATAATAACTTCCAATGCATTTAATGGAAAGAGTATATTTACTTTGAAATCTGTTATCATTCACTGACCCTTATGTCATTCAAAACCTTCTGTTCTTTTGTGGAAATAGACAATATTTTGAGAAATGTCTCATACAATTAAAGTCAATGGTAACCAAAACTAAGCTGCCAACATTCTTCTAAATATGTTCCACAGAAGAAATCATACAGATTTGGAGAAACATAAGGGTGAGTACACATTTTTAATGTCCCTTTAATGGTCTACAACTGACGAAAGAGTCCTTAAACATCCACCTTTAAAAATCTAAAGAAAATTTGAGGACATCTTACTCCCAAAACAAGCAAAAAGCCTTAACAGAACATTCCATTTCCTCTCCCTTTCGTAGACTGCACTCAGATGCACAAAGTACATTTATTACATGTCAAGTTTGACATGACAGTAGATCCATTAGCAAAAGGGTTTTTAACATTCTAATCTCCGAGCCTAAAACTCAGAGAAAGGACAGCAATTAACATGCTATTAGGGCTCAATCAAGCCGCCTTCTGCCTGCTGTTGAAAAGACTGGATGAGGCTTTGAGGATGGCTCAAAGGTCACCATGCTCTCCCCTGCCATTTAGCTCTGAGCATGGAACAGAACAGAACTGAACTGGAATGGCCTTCTTGTTTTATTACTTTCAGCACTGCGAGCTCTGCACTTATACTTCATAAAACTCTGCAAATATGAATGTACAGTATGTGGAATGATATCACCAAAGAGTACTAGCTTTAACTTCAAATTACAGTCACATTTGTGGAAGTTCAGATGTGTTAATTGTTTACAATCTACGCAGACAAAGAGATGCTTTGAGCAGATTTAGGGATGTGGGTTTTGAGTCACACCATCAGCACCCACTCACAGCTGCGCCATCAGAGAGGTGAGAAATATCCAGGCATGTCTGTAATCACACATTCCCAGCATGCCTCTGTCCACCCATATACCCCCTCAGCCACATAGCCCCCCGGTCACATTCACTGCCGTGTGAGTGGACCCCAATGAAGCCAAACATTCTGATGAGAATGACAAAGACGAGCTCTGTTCTGCCCCGCTAGCAAGTCTGTTTGATTTCTTTCTGTCACAGTGCCTGAGAAAGAAAAAAACAACTAAAATTCCAAGTAAATTATTCATGTTGTGTTGCTCTGAAACGCAATCTACAAAAATCAAGCAGTGATTCAAAATTAGGCATAAAACAAATAATGGCAGCTCTACAGTCAACAAAAAAAACAACAACAGCACAGAGACAAACAAAAACCTTGACCATAATCCATTAATTTAACAAAAATATATATATGATTTGCTTCCAAACAAAAATCAAACATAATTTAATCCTACTAAAAATGCCTGCCATGGCATTTTACAGATGCCAAAGCTGAAAAAAATCAGGCGTTTAGATGTAAGGGACATCTGTCTGTCAAAACACGGCCAGCTGAAAAAGTCAGTCACCGCAACGTTGGTGTAATATAATCCCAGAGGGCCTTTTGTAGAGGCCACTTAGTATTCAATCCATTTCCATTACATGTGATGTTGTATGTCTTCCTTCAGGGCTGGATGATTTCAGAATACTGACAAGAGTACTGCTACTGCTGGCCATCCTAGAATGATCGTATTACCCCGTACTGCAGGGAAGATGTCCAAACCAAATCACACCCTGGTAAATTTGTCCCCAGAGAAAAGTTGGGGTCGAGGCTGCAATTAAGAGGCTAACTATGTAAACATAGCACCCTGCATTACATACAGACATACATACAAATGACATGCAAAACAGCCCAAACTCAAACAATGGTTTCATTAGCGCCTCTGAGACTGGGAGAATTGCAATATGTGGATTTCTAACTACTGAGACAAGGATAATAATACCCAGAAAACAGTGAACATAATAGAAGGCTGATGTAATAGAAGGATGAACAAAAAATGTGATATACCTGATGTTGTGGGATTTGCGTTTGATCTCGTTCCAGCAGAGATTCATGTCGTGGTCAGGGTGCTTGTTCCTCTGCCCCCTGCACTGGGTGGGCAGCTCCTGCCCCTCAGGATCCACCGCCGACTGGCAAGGTACACAGTGGCATCCCGGCCACAAGGGCCGCCCCGCAGCTGAAAAACACAATTCAAAATTTAGATAACTTACAAAATCATATCACAGCGCTCAAGTTAAAAGAAATTTGTAAAAACCGAGAACTCGAGAACTTGTGTTTTTCATTCCACTGTGCACGTTTCGTGCAAAAATGTGTTTGTTTTTAAAGCACTGTGTCATGCGCAAGAGCTGCTCTAGACTGAGCATTTTTAAATAGAAAAACATTGCAATGGAATACAAAAACGTGCTCTGTGTGAACAGCAATGCTTTTAAAAACACAAGATTCAGCGCTGAGGAATGTTCAAATAGAAACACAAAGATGAGTTCTGAATAACCTAGGCCTTTAATTTTAGTTCTCAAATTTGATTCACTGAGCGGTGTTCAAAGAGAGCAGATGTTTACTCCGACACTGAGGCTTTTCTTTGTAATGTATATCTCCGTTTGTTTGCGGGTCTAGGCTGCCAGTCTGTTTGGTGGAGATATTTACTGACTCTTTTGTTCAAGCTACATTGACATGCCAGTAGGTGGTGACGAGTTCTCTTTATGAGTGAATGGCTAAATCATTTATCCAACTGATTCGTTCCAAAACACTGATTTAATCAGGAAGGAAACAATTGATAAGCGAGTCATTGAATCATTCACTGAAATGATTCATTCAAGAACACTGATTCATTCAAGAATGAACTCTCCACTACTGTGTATTTGCTTGGTGTTGTTCATTAATTCTGCTGTGGTAGAGCTGTTTTCAGACAAAATAACTGTGTGTAAAATGTAAGTTAATTTATATTAACTGTTTATTTATGGAATTGCTGTAGGCTTATTAAAAACAATATCAAAGTCACAATGGTTCCCACATCTGAACCACAGCTCTGATGGTATTCTGAACAACACTACTCTTACTTTTATGATATTGCTTAATTGTAGCCTGCGCTTTTCATCATATTTCATCAAATACCTTTTTAGATATAGAGAAATTAGAAGTACAGGAACAACATAAGGAAGAGAAGATGGCTCACTCAAAAAAAAAAAAGACTGGAAAAAATTGCAACACATTAACAAGCGGCTGTAGGAATGGAAGTCCCACTTTTCCATTGAAAGAGCTGATTGCCTTTTTTAATTCTACAATGCGCACGTGCCCGAAAATACAGCAATTTAGCTGAAAAAGCAACATTTATGATACCGTTGTTGTCAGATATGGATATATTTGCTGATATGGAAACATCATTTTGACAAATAGTTTTGGAGATCTGTTCTTTCCCAATTTAAATAGATAGGAACTGCACAGTACTCAAAATGCCTGCTGCCTAGAAATGATCTGCCGGGAGTGTTGCCAAGATGGTCGATGAGTGAATGGCCTTGCCTTAAAGGGACTAAATTTGTTAGAGGTGACACACAATTAGGGGAGTAAAAGGGGTGTGTTTTGGGAACTGACCTAAGCCAGATTTGAACTACCCATATGGACACATCTACAACATACAAAATATTATAATCAGCAATGATCCCTTAATTAAAACAACAATCAAAAATTGAACAAGCACAGGAGCAAACAAATTCCCATAGGATGCACCTCAGCTGAACCCTGAAGCACTCAGCAGATAAGTACAATATGAGTAATGCCTGCAGGTCACATAAGCTCTGATTCTCTCAACCAGAGCCAGAGTGGCAGTAACGCTGTTACTTAAAGCATTGCTGGAAATCAGCACACGTCCAGAGCAAAGTGACGGAGACACAATCATTCCAGCAAAAGTCTCATGATTAAGGAGCTTTCCCTCAGTCATGAAACCCCTTGTGTCTCGTTCCGTGCAGCTGTCAGACTGCCTATATATTCCTCTTCCTCGCCTTTGATTAGCCCCAGGGATGGACTAGCCATAGGGAGCGCTGGGACTTTTCCAAATGGAGTTGCTTTGTGGTCTGGCAATGTCAATGTCAAATTTTAGGGATGCATGAGATATCGGCTATATATGCAATTTCGGTTATTTATCATAACAGATTATCAGTCAATATTGAATATATGTTGGCCAATTTTTCTATATCTAAATGTGCTTACTAATTTCCTCTATTTTTGCATTTTTCCATCATCTAACACTCACTTAAAGTTAATTGTTAAACACTAATAATTTGAAAGCAATATTAAATGTAATATTTAGAAAATCTCAAAATGAATAATCATTTTTCAAAATTTCTGATACCATCCTACTCTGAACAGTTGCGACGTTACAATAGATTTCTATTTCAAACAATATTACGTTCTTTTGAACTTTCTATTCTTCAAAGAATCAGAAAATAAACAGTATCCATGTTTCCACAATAAAATTAAGCAGCACAACTGTTTTCAACATATATAATAAGTAAAGCTGCATATTAGAATGATTTCTGAAGGATCATGTGACACTAAAGACTAGAGTAATGGCTGCTGAAAATTCAGCTTTGCCATCAAAGGAACAAATCACATTTAAAAATATATTATAATACAATATAGTTATTTCAAATCATAATAATATTTCACAATATTACTGTTTTTACTGTATTTTTGAGCAAATAATTGTAGCCTTGGTGAACATAACAGACTTCTTTTACAAACATTAAAAAAAAATCTTACTAATGATAGTCTTTCAAAATAAAACAAACAACAATAATGATCGAATACATAATACAGCAGGCAATAATTTTTTTTTGCATATGTATTGTATGCATATGCAGTACAGAGAGTGATTATCTTCTGTGAGTTATGATAGGCTGACATATACCCATGAGTTGTTGTTTAGTCCCATCCCATCCCATCCCTGATTAGCCCAATCATCCCATTCATCATCTACAGCACCCAAGGCCTCTTCTGGTACCCCTTGCTAACTGACCATGACGACATACTGTCACCAAGTCAGTGCTGAATAATCTCAACTGACATCTGTGCAGAAATAAACACATCCAGCTGTCCGGGCCCATGCAGCCGTGACACGTAGCCAAAACGAACAGAACCTGAGATGTGTCTCAATGAGAAATTCTGTATGCCATGTTCCCCAGAGCAGGAAGTGAATTAATGCCTCCGCACAACTCTAATGCGTCCCCTCCTCAGGCGGCCTTCCACTAATTCAGTGTCATTTTTCAGTCTTTCTTGAATTTCTCTCTCTCTCTCTGAGTTTAATCCACTGTCTCTGTGATTAATCCTGGTTCTTTATGGTTTATCAGATATCTAGATGGGGCATCAGATACTGTGAAAAACTCAAAATGATCAGGAGACAGTGAGGTAGGACCTGTGGTGGAGGGGTGAACAGTTGATTCAATGCAGGATGAAGATCCCTTTCTGTTTTGTGTTTATGTGCCATTACGAGTCCCCACTCATACCCTCAGTGATTTGTGTGTTTGACAAAAATTGTGCTGAATCGGCTCAAAACAAAAACAGTTGCGGAAATGAGCCTCTGGCAAGGATTTACAGAGAGGCTTTTCCACCAATCAGAGACATTTGGATGGAAGACGCTCCGCTGTCCACTGCCAGGACCCTGCACCACTTCTTCTGGCCCAGGCAGCATAGGGACTGGCATGCCTACACAAATCCTACAACTCCCACTCAAATGTACACAAACATGCACAAATACACACCAGTTCTCTGCAGATACGGTTCTATAGATTTCAAATGCACAGCATGAATCTATATAAGAATTGTATATTTTCCCTTTGGGAAATAAGGAGAAATGTTCAAGCTTTTTGTAGCAAAATATATGCAGAAATCGACAGAACATAGACAATAAACCCATACTGAATGTACGCTACATTCAAAAGTCTGGGGTCAGTAATTTTTTTTTTTTTAAGATATACTTTAATTAATACTTTAATTTAGCAAGTACACATTAAATTGAACAAAAGTGACAGTAAAGACATTTATAATGTTACATTTCTATTTAAACCCAATTTTCTTCTTTCTTCAAAGATTCCTGAAATAAACTTCACAGTTTTTAACATTGATAATAATAATAAATGTTTCTAGAGCACCAAATCAGCATATTAAAATGATTTCTGAAGGAGCATGACTGCTGAAAATTCATTGGAATAAAATGTATTATAATAATTAGATATTATTAAATAGATATTTTATAATAATATTATTTCAAAACATTACTGTTTTACTGTTTTTGATCAAATGAATACAGCCTTGGTGAGTATAAAAGACTTATTTCAAAAACATTTAAAAAATCGTACCAACCTCAAACATTTGCATGGTAGTGTATATGTACATTCACTACAGTACAGTTAAAAGTCTTTTTCACTGGATCTTTGTTAGAACAAATGACGGTTCATGCTGTAAGTTCATGTGTAACATTCTCTTGTATTGCATACACTGGTTTGAACCAAGAAGAAAGTTGACTTGGAGGTGCACAACATACAGTACAGTATTCAAAGGCAGGTCAAAGCCGAGCCAGTCTACTGACACACAATGTGCAGAACATTTTATACTGACCACTACACAGAGTTTTAAGTACCTAGCTTTGCCTTCAAAGACTGACCATTTCCATGTCAAAAAAATAGCACTCAGCTTGTAGCACAAAGCTCTCTCAAATATCTTTGAAGCATGAATGTCAGGTGATCAAAGTCTGTAAAGGAGACAGACAAGTCATGTAACATTTAAAAAGCCGACCTTGATAATCTGATTCAGACCTCGGTTCACTGTGAAAATATCTGCTCTTTGAACCCTACATCAACAAGACAGAGTGATAGTTCTTACCTCAGAGTGGAGACTAGAAGCTCTTCCTCTGACACTGCATGCAAGAGCCTTTCTCTCGTTATATACACATACGGATCCTCTCCTTTGTCATCCACAGTGGGTGAGTTGGGCTTACAGAGCTGGTCTGCTGGTGTTGGTCTGGAAGGAGTGCTCAAATACTGCAGAAGTCCTGCAATCAAAAGCACTATTGTCCCTCACATTCCACATCACACCAACTTGGCTTGTCCACCCACCGGACCAGGAAAATGTCATGTACACAATCCAGCAGGCTGCAACTGGCTGCCCGCCTGTCTAAGTGACACT